TTAGGGTTACAGATAGGGTTAGGGGTAGGGTTAGGGATAGGGTTAGGGTTATGGGTAGGGTTAGGGTTGGGGTTAGGGTTATGGATAGGGTTGGGGTTAGGGTTAGGGTTACAGATAGGGTAAGGGGTAGGGTTAGGGGTAGGGTGAGGGTTAGGGATAGGGTTAGGGTTATGGGTAGGGTTAGGGTTAAAGGTAGGGTCATCATAATATTGTTGGGGTTAGGGTTATGGTTACAGATAGGGTTAACGGTAGGGTTAGGGTTATGGGTAGGGGTAGGGTTTGGGTTAGGGTAAGGGTTGGAGTTACGGTTAGGGGTAGGCTTATGATAGTAAGGTTGGGGTTAGCGATAGGGTTAGTGTTACAGATAGGGTTAGAGGTAGGGTTAAGGTTATGGCTAGGGTTAGCGTTAAAGGTAGGGTCATCATAATATTGTTGGGGTTAGGGTTACAGATTGGGTTAGGGGTCAGATTAGGGTTAGGGATAGGGTTAGTGTTACAGATAGGGTTAGGGGTAGGGTTAGGGTTATGGGTAGGATTAGGGTTGGGGTTAAGGTTAGGGCTATGAGAATAGGGTTGAGATTATGGATAGGGTTAGGGTCAGGGTTGGGGTTAGAGTTAGGGGTAGGGTTATGATAGTAGGGTTGGGGTTAGCGATAGGGTTAGTGTTACAGATAGGGTTAGGGGTAGGGGTAGGGGTGAGAGTTAGGGGTTGGTTTTAGGGTTAGGGATAGGGTTGGGGTTAGAGTTAGGGTTAAAGGTAGGGTCATCATAATATTGTTGGGGATAGGGTTACGGTTTCAGATATTGTTAGGGGTAGGGTTAGGATTATGAGAATAGGGTTGATTTTAATAAATTGGGTTAGGGATAGGGGTAAGGTTATGATAGTAGGGTTGGGGTTAGTGATACGCTTAGGGTTACAAATACGGTTAGGGGTAGGGTTATGGTTAGGGTTATGGGTAGGGGTAGGGTTTTGGTTAGGGTAAGGGTTGGGGTTAGGGTTAGGTGTAGGGTTATGAGAATAGGGTTGATGCTATGGATAGGGTTAGGGTTAGGGGTAGGGTTATGATAGTAGGGTTGGGGTTAGTGATACGCTTAGGGTTACAAATACGGTTAGGGGTAGGGTTAGGGTTAAGGGTAGGGTTTCGAGAATAAGGTTGAGGTTATTATTAGGGTTAGGGATAGGGTTAGGGTTATTCGTAAGATTAGG